CAAAGCATGGTTTTTTTACGTCGCTTATGTTTAACGGCTAAGTTCGATGTTCTTATTTCAGAATAGATATAATCAAAAAATTCGAAAGTTTCACAAGAAGCTATTCTCTACAAGACTTGCTTCTATGCAAAGCTTCAAATCGAAATTCTCAACTAAATTTTCCTGTTGTTCCTAAGAAAGACTCTGACGTTTCATTAAGACATACAGTATTTTGGCAATAATAATCTATTAGCCTTAGCTTTCTTTTTCGGGTATTCATAGTTCATTAGAATTTACATAATGTACACAGTCCCAAGTCAATAGCAATTCGATACTGAAAAATATTTCTTCACGAGAGCATAAAATGAAGTAACATTTTTTGTCATCTTATCGAAAACGATTTTTCTGATTGAATTAAAACATCTTGAGAACTTTTGTTTTTGTTTTTTAATTATTCGATCATTTTATATATATAAATTAGACGATTGCTGAAGATGATATTGATTGGTGGTCAAAATATTATGCATCAAAAGATGAATTCAATAAATGTGGTACTTATATACAAAAAGGATACGAAACTTTAACAGTAAACATATCAATATAATAATTTTTTTTTTCTTTTGTTCTATTTTGTATTTTAGATATATTCTCATCCACTTGAATTATTCGAATTTTATGAAGGTTTTAATGATTTTTGTCGAACATTTGAATTATTTCGTGGAAAAACAAAATTTGAAGAAGAAAATGAAATTGTAGGAGAATTTAAAGGTCTTTTTAAAGTTTATCCATTATCTGAAAATCCAAATGAATCATTACCACATCGAATAATGGAAAATTTTCCATCAAATAATTTAGAAGAATGTTTAATTCGTGTTTATATTATTCGTGGTATTGATTTACAAGCAAAAGATTCAAGTGGAAAATCAGATCCATATATTGAAATTCAATTAGGAAAAATAAAAATTGATAATCGAGATGAAAAAATACCAAATACAACAAATCCTGTCTTTGGAAAGTTAGTTTATTTATCTATTCTCTTTTTTAAACTGGTTTTTCCTTTTTAAGAATGTTTGAAATTAAAACAATAATTCCATTAGCTAAAGATTTAATAATTCGTATTAAAGATTGGGATTTAATAACAACCGATGATATTATTGGACAAACAACAATTGATTTAGAAAATAGACTTTTAAGTAAATATAGAGCAACATGTGGACTTCCATTACAATATAATGTGTAAGAATTTTCGATGAAAAAAAAAAGAAAAATGGATACTAATAGTTGAAATTAATTTTGTTTAGAACTGGTCCTAATCAATGGCGTGATAATGTTCTACCAAGAAAAATTCTTTATGATGTTTGTAAACGAAATAATTTATCTTTACCAGAATTACTTGATGATCATTCAATTAAAATTGGTAATACAACTTTTCGTTTGGATGATTTCGGTTTGTTCAAAAATATTTCTTTTTATCTTTTCATTTTCTTAATTTAATTCAATTTAGAACAAGAAAAAAATTTAACAATTCATGTTGGTGAAGAAGAAGAACGTTTAGCATTGTATATTTTACATGAACTTCGTCTTTGTCCTGAACATATTGAAACAAGACCACTTTTTAATTCATTTCAACCATTTATTGAACAAGGTCGTTTAGAATTATTTGTTGATATTTTTCCGAAATCTCATGGTCCACCTGGACCTCCTTTTATTATTACACCAAGAAAACCAAAACCGTAGGTTGATTAGAAACTATGCATTTTATTTTTATTTCAAATTCTAGTTTTTTTTTATCAGTTAGAACACATAAATATAATTTTATTTAAAACACTTAAAAATATCAAGTAAATAATCGTTCATGAAATGAGATATCACCAACTTCTCTACGATGTTCTTTTTAGCTGAAATATAAAAAACTTACAGAAGCTCCTAAAATCTTTTTTTTTTTTTAATTTTTCTATAGAAAACCCATTCTTTGACCTTCAATCAAATAATTGTATCTCAGCTAGAAAAAAATCGTACAGATCTTGAATACGTCGAAAATTATTTCCTCTATCGTTCTATGTAGTCTAAACAAAGCGCTACAAGAATTAATACAAGTCTACAATAATGCAAAAAAGGAGTGGACAGAAAGTAATGAAATCATACAAATCATGTTATATATATATATATATACTCTCAAATTCTACATGAATACTATTTTGATTATTCGTACATGATTATCTGTAGATGATTACGTGTAACTTTATTTGAAATTCTTAATCCAGTTTGAAAGATTTTATTCCATTTACAACAAAAAATTCTCATAAAAATCTCGTAAAATGTTATACAAAATCATGCAAAAATAAATGAGAGCGTCAATAGTTATTGTCATTTTGAATCAAATACTTGCTTCATTTTTTTTGCTAATTAAACTTGTATGTATCCATGAGTATTGTTTTTCTTTCATAAAAACATACAGTATTTTTTCAATAATCAATACGAAGTAAATTCTATGAAGTTATAACTTCATAAGTCAATGGTACAGTTTTCTTCGAAAACATCATAAAAACTGATTTTTGAATTTCGATTTGAAACCTTGCACAGAGACAGACTACAAATAAGAATGATAAGTTTCAAGTCTTTTGATTTGCTTCTATTCTAAAATAAGAATATCAAAACTGTCTGTGTAAATGCACGATGTAAAAGATACACTTTTATTATAGTTGTCTCTAATGATAGAAACAATAAAAAGATTTGAAACATTGACAATAAACCAGATTTATCTCCGTGCAGAATTTCAAGTCAACAATCGAAAAATCACTTTTTCTCCTGATGTTTCTGAAATAGACGTCACATCAGTGAGTTTTAAAAAAAAATATAACATAAAAATGCAATATATTTTTACAGCGATAAGCTAAGATTCTGAACTCTTTAGAAAATAATCGATGTTCATTATGATCTATATGATACACATAGTCTGAACTCAAACATGATTTATCAATTAGAGAACTTTTCTCAGAATAGAGAATAGTAGAATGCTTGTTCTCTATGATTATTATCTACTACTATATTAATGTTTTTATGATCGAAACTACTTGTGAATCATAAAATACGTTTTAGTTATGTTCTTCGTTGTATAATTTGGAATACAAGTAATGTTATTTTACAAGAAACATCAATAACAGGAGAAAAAATGTCTGACATTTATGTCAAAGGATGGCTAACCGGAATGGAAGATGATGTACAAAAAACAGATGTACATTATCGGTTTGTTATTTGAGTTATTCTTTTTTATGTATTGAAAAGATCTAATTTTAAATTAGATCAATGGATGGTGAAGGAAATTTTAATTGGCGTTTTGTTTATAATTTTTCTTATTTTCCTGCTGAACGATGTATATCAATAAAAAAAAAAGAATATTTTTGGAGTTATGATGCTACAGAATTAAAAATTCCACCTGTATTAAATCTTCAAATATGGGATAATGATAAATTTAGTCGAGATGATTTTCTTGGTAATTTTTATTTTTTTATTTTTGAATTAAAATTAATTTTAACGAAAAATAGGTGCATTAACACTTGATTTAAATCATTTATGTAAACCAACTAAAGATTCTGATATGTGTACATTAGATATTATAAATGATCAATTATCAAATAATGTATCAATTTTTGATATGAAACATCTAAAAGGTTGGTGGCCTTGTGTTGATCTACAAAGTGGAGATCCAAAACTTACTGTAAGTTTAGTTTGAATAGAATTTTTGAAAACAAAAAAAAATAAATAAATAAATAATTTAGGGTAAAATTGAACTTGAATTAGAAATTTTAACAGAAAAAGAAGTAATTGAACGACCAGCAGGACGTGGTCGTGAACAACCAAATGAACATCCAAAATTAGAATTACCAAAGTAAATATTTTAATTTACATTTAAAAAAAACAATCAAATAAATTTAATTTCAGACGTCCTGAAACATCATTTCTTTGGTTTACATCTCCATATCGTACATTTAAAAATATAATATGGAAAAAATCGAAATGGTATATTATTATTATATTATTATTAATATGTTTTATAATATTCTTACTTTTATTTCTTTGGTCAATGCCTGTAAGTTAATTATTTTTAAAATAAATCTTTTATTATTTTATGAAATATTTTTTTAGAAAGCAATATTATCTCATCTTTTACATACATTTAAATAATTAAATATTTATTATAAAAATTGTTTGTTTTTTTTTTAACCAGTTCTATCAACTAATAAATTTTTATCATCAAGTAATAAATTTTGAACTCTACGTCGTTCAATTTGTGTTAATGAATCTTTTGTTTGTCCACTTGCTAATATACTTGTTGTACGTGGTGATGAATGTAATGATGAAGATACTTTTTCTTTTTGTAATGATGATGTATTTGACATAAATGCTTCAAAACGAAGTGCACTTAATGCATTTGGCTGAAAGGCGATTATTTGATCAATTTCATTACGATGAGATTTAGCAAAACGAAGACGAGTTGCTCGAATTCTTTTATTAAAAAACAAAAAAGGACTAGTGGAATTTAATAAACAAGTGAATCTTACCGATTTCTTGCTTCAGCAGCTTTCAGCTCACCGATGACAATAGCATATTGTCGAGCCATATAGGCTTCTTGATCTAATTCGGCTTTTGTTTTTTTCTTTGTAACAAAAGATTTATCATCAGTTATAGATGTTTTACTTGGACGCCTTTCAGCTTCTTGTTCCGCCATTCTTAGTTGTTGATTATGATGAAGAATATCAATATCATCCATCGAACGATACTTTTTCCATAACAACCATCACGGATGAATCATTCATAATAAAAAAAAACAATTTCAAATATTCTAAATGAACATTTCAACTTGAATATGTATAGAAAAATGATCAAATAATGCTAATAAAGACAATAAAAAATTAATTTTGATAGATGACGCATTAACTTCTAAACTGATTGGTTCTTCCTAAACTCACTAAATTGAGATGTTGTTTTTTTTGTTTTTTTCATTCATAAATATATACAAAATGAAATTAAGTCTTATCCGTTTTGGTGGTGGTGGTGATGCTGAAGTTCCAGCACATATTCGAGAAAAAATGTCTACAAATTGGTATATTCGTCATTTTAATTCATATACAACTCGTGGTCGAGCTAATTCAGTAATGGGTGTTATTGGTGGTTGGATACTTTTTGGTTATACTATGACAAAATGGTCTCAGTTACGTAAAGCTAAAAATTTAGCTTCTCAACCTCATCCAGCTTCAATTCCAACAACACATACATCATCAGCTAAAAAGAGTACTCATCATTAAAATTAGTATTTTTTTGTTTTTGCTTAAAATTTCTTATGTTAGTAAACATTCATAGAAACAGTTACTATTTTTCCGTCTTTTTTGTATTCAAATATATTACAAAAAAAAAATAAAGTAAGAATATTATTTCTTAATACGAATTAATTATGTTAATCTAAAGTGTCCGAAAAAAAAACTAATAATTATCTTAAGACTTTTAATTATTCTCTGATATTGTTTTTAAATATTCCGTGAAAATGAATAATTTTTGAACTTTTCAGAAGTCTATTTGTTCTATATTGAAATGAATTAATATATTAAAAATTAGCGTTAAAGTCAGCATAGTTATATAACTGTTTCAAATTATTAGTGTGTTTTATCTAGTATGAGAGAGCTGAAAGAGCTGCGTCCTTTGAACATTTGTTTAGCCTTCCAGGAGTTTATAGTTAGTATATCACGTACTATGTGTTTGTGCTTTTAAAAATAGATATTTGCTATTACAGAGTTTAAAATTATCTCTCTAAAAGAAAAAGACAAAGTAATGGTTTATTAATAAGTAACTGTCAATAGCTTTAATGTATCCTACAAACATCTCAAAATTTTAAACATTTGATTACATACGACTATTCAAATTTCTTGAAGGTTGTGAGAAAAGAATGGTAATCGTATGTTTTCTATGATTAATTAATGAAATTTGTCTAGATGCAGCAGGGTTAGAACCGGACCGGACTGGACCGGTTGAAGAAATCAACCGGGCCGGTAAAGACCGGAATTTCACCGGTTGAAATTTTTCAAAACTCTGCTTTGTTAATCCTGTCTTTGACCATAAAAACTAAGGTATCACATGTTTTTTCTGTCAGAATAGGTAAAAAAGTGCTCAAAACATATGTTATATTAATCGTTTTTCCTGAGGTTCTCTTTAAAAAGATTCATTATGATGAGCGTCTTTTACATGCGCCTTAAACTATCTCATATTTGGAGCGATTTTTCCTAAAAATCGGTTTTCAAAAAAAATTCGACATTTTTCCACCGGTTTTTAACCGGTTTTCACCGGAATTTCACCGGTTGGACATGTGATTCCAACCGGTCGGTTTCCGGCCGGACCGGACCGTTTTAATATTTCTCAACCGGTTTCACCCCTGAGATGCAGAATAGATTCATTTAAAACCACTAGCACAAAAAAATCAATTGTGCTAGGATTATAAAATTGACCAATAATTGAACTTTCGATGTATAAATTAACTAAAATTTATACTATTTTACTAAACTGAAAGTTCATTAACAACTATTCTCATTCATTCCAAATGAACAACAAGAGGTTTCTATTTATAATTCGTTTCTATATTCAATATTCATATTTGATCGTACGTAGATGCATTATGAAGCTGAAAAAATAATGATATATATCTATGAAGATAACTATTATGATATTGGATAGCTTGAATAAAACTAGGCAATCATTTTTGTTTTGCCGATATATCAAAAAGAAAAAAAGGAGCAATATTTCAGATTGTGAATATGATTCTTTATTTAGAAATAGAATTATTTGTACAAAAATGTCTACATTTGCTTATGTTGATATTTGATGCATTCTTTTTTGTTTTTTTTTTGTTTAAGTATATAAGGGGTATTTGTTCTGCTCTTGAAATCTTTGATGGTAACTTCATTTTTTAGCCATCCAAATGTAAAGAATTATTTGTTTGACAGCTGCATATAGTAAATGTCTAATGTCATTAGATGCATCTTGATCTCAAAGATGTTCTTCAACCTAATTTTGTGATTCTTTCACTCGTACATTCTCTTTTTTGTTCTTGGTATTTTACATTAAGATTTTGTTTCATATCAACAAAAATGTTTTCTTTTTTTTGCTGAAGTCTATCATCAAAAAAGCATTCATTTTGTCGTTAGCTAAAGGATATAATCTAGAATGCGGCACACATCATAACATTCTTGTCGATATAAATTCTATTGATAAAAAATGACACATAGATCATGATGCATTTTAACAATGTCGAACTGACCATATATATTTATTTGTTCGATTCGTCAAGCAATATTTAAGAATAAAACGAAATTCGAATGTATGTGCATTTGAAAATGATCAACAAAAAAAAACAAACTATGTGTAATATTCAATCAAAAAAAAAAACATTGCTATTCTATTGAGAATAGTTTTTTTTTTCTTCAGATAATATCTCCTTTGTAATTATATTAAAGTATGTATATCGTTAAATTACGATTCAAGAAAATTTCGAAATGAAAAAAAATTGACGCATATTTCTATGTAAATACTCAAGGGTATAAGACAAAATAATTCTATTGTATTTTTCAGCATAATAAATTGTTCTATTGAAAAAGTAGAGTAAGTATATAAAATTCAAAACGCAATATTGATTCATCACCATAGTACCCAACTTCCGATACATGTGACTTATTATATCTACGCAATTATAGGGTTGTCTTTCGATTGAACCAATTAGAAGATTTAAAATTACATTTCTCAAGAATAAAAAAAACATAGTGCTAAGTGAACTTTCCTAACTATATATATATTGTAAGTTAAATAATATTAATATATTTAATTATAAGATTATCTTGACATAAAAGATGTTCGTAGTAATGAAATGTTTTCTCTAAGAGAAAATTTGCGTAGGCTATAGAATAAAAGTCTTTTCATATTTTTGTAATCAACATATATAGTATAGTTCTTTCATGTTTTTTATGATATCTACTTCATCTTATTTTCTTATTATAACATTTGCAAAAAAATATTGATTCGTGCCAATTAGGAAATACTTTTGTTCATTAATTAATTTCAAGTATTTCTAAAAGGATACTCAAAGTGAATCTGAATATTCTAATGCGTCTTCTTGTCTTTTTTTTTGGTTAATTGATAGTTTTTCTATTGAAAGATAAATGCTTGTAAGGGTTTGTTGTTTTGAAGAAAAAAATAAATAAATAACTATTGTTGTGAATGATTTCATAGGGATTTATGATAATATATATAGTTTCATTTGTTTTCGAGAACAATTTCTTAATAAAATATTTGTTGATTGAACAAAAGATTTTAATTTTGAAGATAACCTTTTTGTTTAATTGTAGAATTGAATCGTAAAAAGTAACTACTAGATATAATAACACGATTAACCTCTTTCACGCAGTATATGAATAAAAAAACAAATGTATCTATTGAGAATATTATCTCTAGAGATCAGAGTAAAATATATTTACTATTATTATTATCATACAATGGACAGTAAGATTTGATAATTCTAGTGGAAAAAAAGTAAAAGAAGACATGCAATGTGTAAAGATTTTTTGTCAACAAGTAGAATTAATTATATTGTTCTGATAGAACAGCTTAGTTCTATAAGATTAAGATTATCGTGATATTAACAAATTTAACATCAAGTTAAATTTAATTAATAAATTGACACGATATTTTACTAAATATTTTTTTTTTTGTTTTTCAATATGTCGAAAAATAAAATCTTCTATTCAATTGTATGCAATCACAAATCATATTATAGTACTATTTTGATGATAGAATTAACTGACAATATACTTCTTGACTAAAGAAATAACTGATTTACCCATTTCTTTTTGTTAAAGCAGATACTCTTTTTCTTAAGTGTGCTACATCGAAACTCGAATATTTTTTTTGTAGAATACATTCGAACTTATGACATATGATTATTCTATTAAAATTGTATTAAAAGATTTTTAATTTTGAAATTCATTTTATATAGATAAATAAAATTTTAATAAAAAAAAAAAAGAAATGTTTACTTCAATATATAAGATCATCGAACATTATAATTGTTCTTTTGATGACTGACATAGTTTTTGATAAGCTCTTTATCTCGTGACAAACTCATTTATCTCTTTTTTTTTGTTTTTGCAAAACTTACAAAACATTTTTTTTTGTTTTCAATGAGATATATTTATTAGTCAAGTTTTAGATTAAAAAAGATTTCAATTCGATTTCTTTGAAAGAAAAATTCATTAGAATAATCATCAATCAAGAATAGTATAATAGAAGTGAAAGTTATTTTTGTACAAATTTCTTAACTTCAATGCCATTTGTTTATAGTAGAAATATAAGCTGCTGAAATGACAAGGGTGAATCAGTGTGAACGATTCTCTTACAAGCTTAACAAAATTAATCAATTGGTATATAAATAATAAAATATATTGATGAGCTTTGCAAAAAGCAAAAACACGCTAGTTATAATAAGATATTGCGTTTGTCTATTTGACCTTGTTATAAACACACACACGTATACCCATATATTTCTTCTTTTTTTTTTATCATTGTATATGGATCAATATATTTGTCTTATAATCCGATATTTCTTCTCGATTAGTAAAAAGAAATTATTTCTATTGAAAATATTTGATAAAATCAAATGAAATGTTTTGTATTACGAGAGATAATATGTTATACATCTGTTGTTGAACGCTTCCATATGAAAAAAATACAATAATAAATGATTGTGTGATTGATTGAGTTCTATGATAATCATTCGATCTATTGCTTAAATCAAATGAATAAAAAAGACAGAAATATAAAAATCTGATATATATATATATGTCATAAGATAAATTTTAGATATCAAAATTCTATCAGATTTCTTTCCACTTTTCTATTAACATTAATTGTAATACGATTTTTCTTGATGAATAAGAAGAAAAAATTTTGTTGTCTTGAACTGCGATGGTTTATATTTCTATTTTGTTTGCTTGGTAATGATGTCTATCTTGGGTCATATAGATGTATCAAAGAATTTCTATTTGTTGGTAAAATGATACCTTCGAGAATGCTAAGACAACGAACGACTAACGCTTCAGAGTAATTACACGAGAGAGACAAAACACAATATGCTAGCAATCAAATCTCTTGTGTACCCATATATACACTCAAATGAGCAAGTGGGTTGAGTTGCTTTTTATTCTTATTTATTATTAAGGTAGTATCATACATCTTTTTTTTTTGTTTTTTTTTTAGTATAGTTTTTCTT